GGGGGTCCCCAGGCCTCACCGCCAAGGGGTCCGACGAGCCGAAAACGGGCCGGGCAGGCTGAAAACGAGTCCGAGGGAGGAGAATAAAGCCAGGCCTCACCACTAGGCCACCGAGGCTCCTCCCGGCCGGCGTTCTTCCAAGTCGCCCGGCGTTCTTCTTCCCGGCCGGCGTTCTTCCGAGCCGCCCGAGTCCCAGTTGGGCCGAGTCCTCACGCCGAAAACGGCCGAGAATGGGCCGGACGGACTGAACAAATCTGAGGCGAGGGTCACCAGGCCTCACCACCGAGAGGTCCGACGAGCCGAAAACGGGCCACCGAGGCTCCTCCCGGCCGGCGTTCTTCCAAGTCGCCCGGCGTTCTTCTTCCCGGCCGGCGTTCTTCCAAGCCGCCCCAGTCCCAGTTGCGGCCAAGTCCCCACGCCGAAAACGGCCGAAAACGGCCGAGTCCCCACGCCGAGTCCCCACGCCGAAAACGGCCGAAAACGGGCCGGGCGGGCTGAACCGGGTCCGGGGGGGGGTCATCCAGTCACCCTTCGTCGCAGGCCCCCGAGACACCCCCAAAACGCCCCCATTTCCCCACTTGCCGGAGCCGCGTACTACGGAGCAAGCCGCAGTCGGTCCGTCATCTTGGGCATGCGCAGGGCATGCGCATTGGGCATGCGCATTTCTCCTTCAACTTTCAAACACCCCTCACCCTTGGGCATCTTTCTCAAGCCCTGCTGTGATTCTCTCACATCCTTATGCATTCCCTCGCACCCTCCCCCACATAATAGCAGCTACTTACCTGCCTGCTAGCCTGATCACAAGCTGCCTGAGACTTAACAACTTCCTGCCAGCTTCTTCATGGACATGGTCATGGGAAGCCAGCAGGAAGTTGCCTCATCTAATAATGATAACAACTGAGCGATTCAGTTAATTATAGCAATCAGAATTGCAGCGATTGCCCTCACTAAGCAATATGGTCACACTTTGAAACCACAGTGCTTAGCAATGGAAATTCTAATCCCAATTACTGTCATACGTCAAGGACTATCTGTAGTTCTTGCGAATATGCTTTGTGGTAGGTTTTAGAAGATTGAAGGCCACCAGCCTCCTCAAATTATTGCTCAGTTTATAAAAACATAGTTGCAACATTGTTTACTTCAGTCAGAATATATTTGAATGTGGTTCCAAACGCTACAGGTTTTCTTTGTATGGAAAACCTGAAGCACAAATAATTTTTAAAAACAAATGAAGCCAGATTTTGATTTTTCAACTTAGTATATATCCTAGACAGCTTATGCTAGGATCATGTTGTGCATTGTTTTTTATCTGTCTTGCTCTCAGATGTGCATTGATTAGGTCAGGGGTAGGTAACCTTGGCTCTTTTATGATTCGTGGACTTCAACTCCCAGAATTCCTGAGCCAGCCAAGTTGCCTCAGGAATTCTGGGAGTTGAAGTCCACGAGTCATAAAAGAGCCAAGGTTGCCTACCCCTGGACTAAGTCCATCAGGCATAGACTTTTTTTTATTTTCAAGCAAAGCAGATAAAACATTTTAACATCGCTATTCCTATGACCCCACTACCAAGTGAAGTTGTATTGCTCTAAGTCTGTGACAGAACTTTTTCTGCGATGGCACTTTGGTTTGTAGAATAATTTTTCTAAAGAAGGCAAGCCAATACTTACTTATGAGTCATCGAATGACTTTAAGTACATGAGCCTTTTCTATGTCTTTAAAAATATTTTGTCACTCAGGCTTTTCTGCACGTGAAAATTGTTTTAATCTTTTTTATTGTTTAATGTTTTCCAATATAAGGCACTTTAGGACCCCCTTTGGGCTGAAAGGTGACTAAAAAATCTCTGTGTGTATGCATGTGTGTGTTTGTGTGTTAATATATACTGTACATATACATAATTTTCTTATTTATTTGTAGAAACTAAATCATCTCCAGAAGGAGAAGAAGGAGAAAAGCTAGCTGAAGATGAGTATGAGGAGGCAGGAAGTGCTGCAAGTGAAGGTGAGTGTTGTTAGCAATCTGTGGACTTGAAAAGTGTATTTTTATACACTCCCTTTATTCAGCTCTTTTGTGCAATTATTTTCATAAGCTAAGTAATGAAAAAGTAGGTAATGAAATTTACATCTGGGATTTAAGCATTTATTCTTGATCTGCCTTGTATTTGCCTGTCCTACTAGTTTAGATTGTGTGGACCTTTTAGCCTTTCAGAGAGCCATGAAGGCCTCGCTCTTCTCCCATGCAGCCATATAGGTCTAATCAATCAATAATCAATCAATCTTAAAGTAATTTGTAGTCTCAAAGTTTTCTTTTTCAGAAATTAATTGCTATGACTTGTGCTGCTTTGCGTTGCATAACTGGTCCAAAGAAACTATTTTTTTATTTATGTAGCCACATTTGCTTGATTATGCCTAGAACCTCTCGGTTCAAGTATTATTTCGGGTGGCAAGTGTTTATCAGTTGTTTTAAAGATGGTAAAAATCTTACAAGACTTCTAAATCTGGCAAGATTTCAGTGAGCTTATTCCTAAGATTTCATACAATCTCAACCAAGAACCCAACACTGCACATAAACGTCCTGCAAGCCACAAAAGATCATATACACATTTTCTCAAAAATTTCAGCCATTTAAAATATTTTAAACCTTAAATTATTTAAAATATTTCATTAGTTTGGGAGTTCAGAAGATAACCAAAATTGTTATGAGTACAGCAAGTCCTCAGGTTAAGAATGCTCTGATTTAAGGATGATATTGTTAAAAATGGAGCCTATTGTAACAAAATTCAAATTAAAGCCATAAAGATTCAAGTTAAATACACAATGGTTCAAGTCCATTAAGCAATTCTATTTATACAATATTATATAATAATATTGTTCTGGCTTACCTACAAATTTGACTTAAAGACAGACTTTGGGAACAGAACTTGTTCTTAAACTGGAGACTTACCTGTATCATGTTGCTTATTATTGCAATATTTATAGCTCAGGGTCGAAATGAAGGGTCCTTGATGCTCTCTGAGCTTTCTTGTTTTCTTGCAGATGTTTCATTACCCTAACTAGGTAACCTCATCAGTGCTAGTTAGGAGTGCTGTTTGCTTGTTATTGCATTAGTTGTCACATTTGAACTCAACATGAAAAATTGCCTGAAGACTCAATACTTTATTATTCATATGAAGCTATTTTGTTGCATGTGATTTGCTTATAATTTGATTATCTTACTCTTATCACAGTCTCTAATCACCTTATAGATTGGGATAAATCCACAAATTAGAATAACAGTTTTCTTGGTATAGCAGATCTCTTATGACTAAGATTGCAATTGTATTGTATATATGCTTCCTTCGAAAGAAGCCTTCTGAAAAGCAATGAGATTTATTTTTACATAAGCACATCTAAGATTGATATGTAAACTACTTCCATAACTGATCTCTGCTTATTGATTAATTCTTAATGCTATGTGATCTCCTTTTATCATTTGTTTCTTTCTTTTGAAATCTTATGATCATTAGACATTGTCTCTTGTAGTCCAGACTTATATTTAATGAAATTCAAATCCATTGGTGTTGAGATTGCATAGTTATCTCAGGGGTTCCCTTTATTCCAGTGATCTCTGCTCCAGGCACCTGAGATTAGATTTGTTCCAACAGAAGAGAATATACGTATGTAGCTCATAGTTGAACCATGGAGTCCTTGGTGCTGTCTGAGCTTGATTTTTTTGCTTGCAGACTTTTCATTGCCCAACTAAGGTAACATCAGTGCTACATCAGCTTGCTCCCTGTTTATATACAGTAACTTGCCCTGCCAGTGTTGATAATGGTGCGGTTTTATATTTGGTAGTTTCTTGATTAGGGTATTGTTTTCTGCTTGATTGTTTGTCTGGTGTTAATTCCTGTCTAGCCAGCACTTCCTCTCCAGAAAATGCAGTACTCAATAACACTGATAATGTTATCTAGTTGGTAATGAAATGTGTGTAAGCAAACAACCAAGCACAGACAACATTGAGGAGTCCACTAGAATTGTTTTTTAAAATGATCGTTTCTTTCTCAGAAATATATGTATATAGCTTTTATGATGGCATTTTTGAAATCCAGAAGAAGAACCACCACCAGAACCAGAAAAACCCCCAGAACCAGTGAAGAAGAAGAAAAAAGAAGTAGTAGAGAAGAAGATCTCTGAAAATTTCTATTATAACTATGAAGAACTGTGCTCTTATCCCTATATAACTCCAGATTCTGGCATACCGGTGAACCTGCTCTCTCTTATGTATCCATTTTTGCTAGAGATCCATGTGTTTAGGATTTGAGTTTCCTATCATAAACCAAAGTAAGAAACAAATGTATTTGCTTTTAAAAAATAGCATTGGAAATGATGCATTCAGTATATTAATGATGGAATGGTTTACAGATTTAGTAAATAAGGTACTGGTTTTGTTTTGAAGAAATTGGGGGTTAAATTAAGTGAAGGCTGACAAAGCAGTATAGAATGGAACAAATTGCTTACATTTGCTTCAGCACTTTGTGCAATTCTGAGTACAGCACTTTAAGAAGTATTCAGGTAAAGTGAACAGATTCAGCCAAGGGCAATAAGAATTATTAGAGAACAAGTCCTATAGAGAAAGAGCAGTAATTGGGAATATTTAGCTTTGAGAAAAGATTATAGAGAGAGCATTTTATACTACTGTTCAAATATGTACATAATGCCCTTTAGATATCTGAATCAGCAAAACCTATTTACCATGGTTTGAAACTATTTAAAGATAAGAATTTAAGTGATGAGAAAGCAGATTTCAATTATATGTTAGAAAAAAGTAGCAGCATTTCAGTGATGGAACAATTACTAAGAGAAGCATTGAAGTCCTCTTCATTGGATGAATTTAGGTGGAGGCTAAGTAATTGTTCGGGAGATGATTTAATTTGGATTCCTGCACTAAGCCACTGGATTAGACTCAATGGTCCACTCAAACTCTACTCCACTTTTTCCAATTACAACAATGCTATAATGCAGGGTGAGCTAAAAATGAGTGACTAACTGAAACTCACCAAGTGAATTTTCCAGATTATGATGAGCTACATCTTAGAATTTCCTGTCCTAATATAGTCCATTAACTAGCACATCATGCTGTCTTTTTTCATTAATGGTTCATTTATTATTCAGATGCAATAAACCTAGGTCACGTCATCATTTATTTCCTTAGCATGCATTCCTCAGGCATTCTTTTGGATATGACTGCACTAGACGAGCAAACCTCCAGATGCTGGATAGTCAGATTCTCCTCTACATAGCTGGAAGCCAGTTAGTTCTTCTGGATTTGAAATCGAATTATCAGAGATACCTTCGAAGCACAGGTGGTGGAGGGATTGGTGTAATCACGGTATGACGTATATCTTAAAGAATTTTTGCTTAAATTGTTTTTGGCAGAAAAATATGCAGAATTTTTAATGGGGTTTGCTCCCCTTTAAATTTTTTGCTTTTGTTTAATTAACAGAACAAACAAAAAAGGAAAAGCATATAGCAGTGTTTCATGCATGTATAGATAGGCAGAGTTTTACTCAACAGTTTCAATAAAGGACTGTCATATTTCAATATAATCTTCCATACATAGTTTACATCTGTAAACATCTCATTCAAAAGTCACATCAGATCTCAACTCCATTGATTATTTATTTTTCTGTTGGAGAAGTTCTTGGAAGTATAAAGGACATAGAGAACCCAATTCTGTTGTCTAGGTATTAATTTCCATAGTAAGAATGTAATTTAAAAGAGTACAGACAACCCAAAATATAAAAATCTATTTCAAAATCAATATATGTAATTACTTTTTCCAGAACATAATGATTTAGGACATCTGTCTGAATGAAGAAGCATTATTCTTTTTTTTTTCAATATAAAATTTTTATTTTTATCATAAAAAAAAAAAGAAATACATCACAAATATTTCACAATGTTATATCCCATCCCCCCACCCCCCGGACTTCCCAAACCAACCTAGGCTGATATTCAAATACATGTAAACAAATATTAATATCTCTAACTCCAAAGTCTAAACTTAAACAATCCATCTCCTCCGTGTTAATAAAAATTATTCATTTAGTTAGTTCTTCAAATATCCAAAATCTTTACCATTTCAGCAAGATAGTTTAACACCATCCCTTACTTATACAAAAAAAGAAAAGAAAAAAAAATTCCCATCTTCCATAAAGTTAACANTTCTCGCCTACATCGTCCATATAGGACGACTCGGGAACTCAACTCCTACCCCGGGCAGCTCACCGATCCCCTTATGCCCAGGGGAAAGGTATCAAGCCGTTTGACAGCTGATGCTGGCTGTCAAACCGGCTTTTACGCAAAACAGGCGGGAGGCAGCAAACAGCTGCGACCAGCGAAATCGCCTGCCACCGGAAGTCGAGAAGCATTATTCTTATTGCATTTACAAAACCATGATGATGTACTTGGTTATATAAAAACAGGGTCCAATAAATCTAGTTTATTATTTTGGGTTGAACAAGTTATAACTTTTCAAATTTTTGATTTAGACATTAAGATAATATCCCTTTTTTAAAGATAAAATGGGGATTTCCAACCACTTATTTCATTCAGTCTTTAAAATTTTCATATTTATTAATAGGTATTTAGAAGACTAATTGTAGGACTTTTAATTTCAAAAAATTTGGTACTTATTTCTCAAATGATTACATTAAATATGAATAAGATACTGTATATATTTGGATATTGTTTGATTAGAATTTAAATTTTACTCCAGACAGATAAGCAGTCATCTATCTTCTTCTATATAAATAAAAATGTAAATGTTCGTTTGTTCAAAATCTTAAATCTCCAAAAGTTCTTCACCGATTGCTTTGAAATTTTGACACAAGTTGCATTCGAATACGCGCGTGTTTTTATATACCTACTATTGTATAGATGTCACACCTGTGACCGGTAAAAACATTTAACCTGTCTGAGCCACAGCAATGCGTGGCCGGGTACAGCTAGTAATGAATATAATTTCTAGGATATATTTTGCATAAGATTCAAAATTACAAACATTCTGAGTTTTTGAAAATGTCTTCCATATGTATACACACACACAAACACACACACACAGAGGAAGGGAGGGGGAGAGGGAGAGGGAGAGAGAAACACAGAAGACATTTTCAAAAGTTCAGTACATTGTAAATATCTATGAGGTTCTTCAGTTCCAAAGATATGTTTGAAAAAAATGCAATTGTCAATTAAAGATAGGGATCTGGTTTTCTGAATGTTGAATAATATTATGTGAATATCTTCTGATTAGTAACACATTTGGATGGTTTTACTCAGCATAAATTTTCTTCCTGAGCTTTTTGAGAATATACACACATTGCAACTTTACTTAAGTGGATTGTTGTAAGTTTGTTGTAAATATTCACTAGCTGTAACTCCTGACCTTGTTATATCAATTTGAATACTGTGGTACATTTTTGGAAAATTGCATTTTTTTTCCATTTTTTTTTCATGCTAGCTGCTGTGCACCTAAGGGCACTTCTGGGTTGAAATGATTAGGTGGTGATATCAGCATTGCCTGGGAGACACCCAGTTGAGGGCTCCTTTCATGTCCCTGTTAATGTTCCCACCAAAGTGGTACCTTTATCTATCTACTTGCTATTATTCGCTTTTGAACTGCTAGGTTGGCAGGAACTAGAGCAAATGATTGAAACTCACCCTGCCACACAACAGCACTTGAGTCTCAAATGTGGGCTTGCTGATTGTCAACCAACATCCTAACCATCTGAGCCACCCTGTTTCTTTTTTTTCATGCTAAATTATTATGGGATGAAGCAACTTTAAATTTTATTTAAAAGCTGCTGCATGAAAAATTTGGATATACACTAAGATTTTAACTTTAGACTAATTACTGAATAATAATAATGAACGTTGATCATTTTGTTTGCTAAAGGACAAATATTTGCCTTTTGCTGTCCACTGTCAATATTTACAAGTACAACTTATATTGATTGATATCTCAATTTTGATTAGTATTTTCAGTTGCTGAAAATTATTAGAAGGGTTTTTTTTCTTTTTAAGAAGTATGTCAGCACACAATGCTCATCCTTTGAACAGCTTTATATTCTTGTCCTGTCCCAGTACATGCATGAATTCACAGGGAGTTTTAGAGACTCTATTGAGACACCCCAGGGGCCTTGTAGTATTTTATTTGGGTCCCTGCTGTTTTTTGGCAAGATTTTGAAAGTGGATTGCCATTGTCTCCTTCCTAGGGCTGAGAGAGAGAGAATCTCTGTCCCAAGATCACTCAGCTGACTTTGTTAGTGTCTTAACCACTATAACCAAACTTACTCTCTAATTACACAATATTGTAGAAATAAGATAAAATAAAACAGTTGTTCAAAGCTTAAGAATTGGTTTTAGAGAAAAGATCAGAAAGTATGGACCACTGGGTCTCATTATTCATTTCAGCATAAAACCACACACATATTTTCCCTCTTATTTCCGTAGTGCTTGTCTATGCAATGTATTTGTGTTTGCTCCTTCTCTTCATTAGAGTGCAGCAAATTAGTGTTGGGTCAACCCAGTCATAAGGCTCAGTAAAGTTTCCTTGTGGTATCCAGTCATCTTTGTCCTGAGTTGCTCAGCTATCAATGAAGTATCTTGCTATATGTGTAGCTCATGCTGCCTTCTTTGCACTAGGCAGCTTTTTCACTGCCTTACTATAGGGACTGCTTAACTGGGCAGCTGTTTGCTATTGTCACTAGCATTCACTGGCATGATCATGAGGCCCCTCCACCAAGATTATGAAGGGACACATAGTGTAGAGATGGTCTGATGTGTGCACAGATGATATAATCCTATTCTTTAAAACATCTACTTAATACTTGTACAAAATCTGTATGTGATTTTGTATGTGCATTAAGTAACAAAAATAACGCCAAAACCATGGGTGGCTTTTTTATGTGTATACTGATGTTTGATCTCTAAATAACAATCATGGATATGCAATATTGTGAATAATGAGGACCATCCCTATTTCTAAATCCTGATGATATCTAGAATCCATTTCTATTCTATTTAGAATGAGGAACAGTAGAAGGCCAATTTTTTCTTTGTCCTTGGGTCTGCAATTCCTGAAGGGAAAAGTTTTGTGCTTAATGGTAGTTCAGGATTATATTGGTTACTGAAAGAATAAAGGAACAGTTTGATTTTGCTAATTTTATTGTTCTATATAAGCCAAGTTGCAAGAAGATTATGCTTAAATGAAAATTATCTTTAATTAGGCACACCCGGACAGAACTCATTTTGCAGTAGGAGAAAAAGGTTGGAAGCCCAACATGGTTATCTATGAGTATCCTTCTCTAAGACCATACAGAATATTACGAGGTAGGTTAAAAGATAATGACTTTCACAGTTTAAAATAGTGCAGAATAAACTGTCTTAAAACTGAAAGCAATATTCCATTTTAATTTCTTGTATAAATATATGCTCTGTTTGCTGCAACTCTTGATCTTTCTTTGTACAAAAGAAAAAGAAATGGAGACTGGGTAAAAAACGAACTATTGAAAGAATGGTAATAAATTAAGAAGGTGTCTCCTGTTTTCAAAGTACATTTTTTCTTATTTGAGCTGCTTTTTTTTTTTACCAAAACCAGAAAGAAACAATGTGTGTATTGTATTTCATTTCACTTCATTTTTCTAGTGTTTTTAATTTAAAATTTAAAATATACAAATGGTACATCTGACTTTTTTGCAGCTGACAAATCATGTTCTGTAGCATCTTCTAGAAATTATTGCATTTATTTTTACTTGCTTAAATCTATATATTTTACAATTATATTACTATATAGAACTGAACACAAAATATACCATGTCACATAACTTATGTTCAGTTCTATGTACTAACAGTGAACTCATTTTCCAAGAGCTGAACTTTTTGTAATACAAATGGCAACACCTCAGAGCAGGAATCAAAGTTTCCTAGACCTATAAAGAAAGCTCAGATAGTAAACCCTCCCAGGGTAACTACCTCCCCCCCCCCCCACACACACAATTCAGTAAGGACTGAGCATTCTCCATTGCCAGAAAAAGCTGAGTGTCTATAGGGGAGATGGGGGTAGGGGGATGGAAATTGACTATATTATTTTGGGAAAAATCATGGCTAGCTGACAAGAGCTCTAAACAAGCTAACTTTTCATTTAAAATAGAATTCTGTTGTATAGTCTTCAAATGCTGATTCTGAGAAGAAAGTATAGAAACTAGGACATGCCAAGCCTTCAGGCTATATTTATTTTATGTCATCAAGGAGCATTACCATCATCTCATCAGATCACTTGCACACCTCTATTAAAAATATGTACTTTTAATTCATACTTGCACGCATACCCCACACACATATACATGCTTTGAAAGCAAGTGATTATTTTCCATTTTTTTGGTTTATTTGTATTTTTAAAATTTTTATTTCAAAATTGTATGTGCCATTTATAAAGCATAGTAGAGGATAGGGCTGGTAAATGGGGATGTTTTCTTGGTCATGCACACTATGGTGAGAAACTGATTATTTTGCTTTATTTCCAGGTGGAACAGAAGAGGCATATGCATTTGCTGACTTTAACCGTTCTGGCACCCTGATAGCCACTGTAGGGAGTAGCCCTGACTATACATTGACAGTCTGGGACTGGAAACAGGAAAAGATTATATTGAGATCAAAAGCATTTTCACAAGATGTTTATAAAGTTACTTTTTCTCCTGAAAATGAAGAACAACTTACTACATCTGGTTCAGGCCACATCAAGTAAGCCAACTACCCCTTTTTAAAGAAATAGATTATCAAAAAGGTATCAATTTGAGGAAATGATATGACTCTGATTCAGGTGGCTGTAGGCTTTGTCCCTTCACAATGATACTTTGTGCACTGCTACTGTTACCCCAAGCTACCTCACCAACCACCTATTCTTAGCAGCACCTAGTAGTTCTTTCACCAAGCCAATTGGCAACAAGCCAAAACAGAATCTTACTCTAGTCATTGGTTTTTTTTTTATCATGTTAGTTTTTTGCAGGGGATGGGGGTGAAGAAAACGCCAGGGAACTGCCAGGGAAATGGAAGAACCTCTCTCCTTTTCACTGACAAGGGAAAAATTAAAGTGCTGCAAGGAAGTGAAAGTGCAATCTTCAGGAAGTGAGAAACCCAGAAGTAACACAAAACAGGAATGCTTGCTAACTGGAAGCCTTAGTCCATCCACCCCAAAAAACTTTGCACAATTATTGTTCTGGTGCTTTCTCTGTATCAGGAGCCTAGCTAATTAACTGTGTAAGTTAATCAGCCAAGCTTTTTAAGATAACTGAAAACTCACTGGTTTCATGCAAATATTCAAGGGCAGCGTCAGCATTGGATCAAATTATCTTTTGTGCATAGAATAAAGTGGGCTGTTTCCTGATTTTTTTAAAGAAATAGCTTTGCCTATTTGGTGGATATTGTCAATACAATATAATCCTGTATTCTGAATCACAGAAAGAGGATAAACTATAATTTAAAGAAATATAATGTGTTTAAATCCATAAAGACATTGTAATAAGCCGCCCAGAGTCAACTCTAGGCGAGATGGGCGGCATGCAAGTCAAACAAACAAATAAAATGTTGATACATTTTGAAATCATTTCAGGGTTGTCTGTGTTTCTGTGACATAAGTTGGAGAGTTGAGTGAAGCTAGGTTTTGGTTTAGTGTGAGATAGTGTGGCCCACGGGAAAGAACCTGCGCCTCAATCTTTTTCTAACTCCCGAGCTTCCTGTAGTGTAAATAAAATGCTCCATTGCAGCTCTCTCACAGTAGCCCAAACAAAAGAAGCAAAAATGGAACTGAAAAGAATTTTGACAGTTTCCTTGTTGCTTACTTTTAGCTGGTAACCAAGAATTCAAAATGCCACATCGCTTAGCTTTTTTGTTTTTAATTTTCTTAGAACTTGTAAGTAGTGAAAATTGGCAGTTGAGATTTTTGTTGCTATATAATTTGCAATAACTGGGATAGACAATTATTTTTCCTCTTTATTCTTAGCATAGCCAGCACTAACATATAAGAATAAATGAAAATGCTCTTAATTCCCGTTGATTTATGACAAACATATGCAATGGATTATATTCATTTTTTTTTGCTTACAATGGTAAGTCCATTCTGGACTTGGGTTCTTAAGCTTTGTTTTCACTCATTTGTTTTAGTATTTAATTAACTGTGGATGTTTTGGGTCTGATCCTAGACATACTATCTTTAACAATAATTTGGAAAAATAAATCTACGTTTAAAATTTTGGATTGTTTTCCCAAATTAGCCATAACCGCATTTATTGATTTGGCTGAAATAGTACAGTGGTTGGTTAAAAATTAAAAATTTTATCACTCCTCACAACTGTAGAAGTAGGTGGAAGAGTTAGGGTTGTTCTGTAAACAATGATCTATCTTTACAGTTATTTTGGTGCCTACAAAAAGGCTGACATAATTTTACTGGAAAAACTAATTTGAACATAATTTTCATGGTTGTGTATCCAGGTTTTGGAGAATGGCTCTCACTTTTACTGGCTTGAAATTACAAGGGGCATTAGGTAGGTTTGGAAAGACATCACTGACAGATATTGAAGGATATGTGGAGCTGCCAGATGGTAAGGTGAGAAGCATTTTCCATCCTTAAACTTTTCCACATGAGTAATCCCTTTGAATCCAGATTTAAGTGAATAAAGATATAACATTTTTGTTTTCTGCCATTGCTTAACATTAGACTTAAAAAATGTAATTTTTTTTAAATAGTTCTAAAATGTAACAATTGGGTGAAGAGTCATTTTTACTTATTTAAATAATTTACCACCTAAAACCTAGTGGATTTCAGTCAGAAATTATGTTGCCTGCTGCTACAGATGGCACACTCATGATGCAGTATTTTATTGTTAACTTTCTCCCATTTACTACTGCTTTTCAAAGCAAGGGCTGAACTATATTCACTATCACAGAAATGGCTGCAGTAAGTAGGGAGGATTGACTCCACACTGCATGATGAACAGTACCTTGCATAACTGAATGCACTTTCTGATGTGGTAATGCATTGTTGGATATAGCCCTATGTTTGTACAGTATGCTGGCTTTCAATACTGACATTTTTGCACACAAACAATAAAAATGACACCAAATAATAGCATTCCAATACATCAGCCATAATAGAGTAAGTTTCCCTGAAGTGAAAACTAGATTGCCTAATAAGCCTACCTAGCTGAAAGAATTGTTTCTAGGTCTCTAAAATAGAAAAGTTTCTTGCCACATTCATTAGCACCAGTTCCGTCTCTGAAGGTAGAAACACCTGGAGAAGAAATTCAGATAAAAATTTCAGGTCATTAGAGTGGAGGTTAGTATTACTGCAGGCATTTTTTCTCCCATATAACCTAAAATTGCCAAGCAGATAAAGGTTGCCTCCTGTCCACGAACCAAATATACTCCTTGGAGTTTCCCATTTATCCCTCTTTAGAACAATGTATTTGACAAATCATATTACAAAATTCTAATAGTTGTGCAGTAAGATGTTCTTCAGTTTTATTTCCAGCTTTTAACCTTAAACCCAATAAATATATTCTAAAATCACGTGAAGTATTAATACCACTTTACAATGCCTTAGTAAGGCCACACTTGGAATACTGCATCCAGTTTTGGGCAACACGATGTAAAAAAGATGCTGAGACTCTACAAAGAGTACAGAGAAGAGCAACAAAGATGATTAGGGGACTGGAGGCTAAAACATATAAGGAACGGTTGCTGAAATTGGGTATGTCTAGTTTAATGAAGAGAAGGACGAGGGGGAACATGACAGCAGTGTTCCAATATCTTAGGGGCTGCCACAAAGAAGAGGGGGTCAATCTATTCTCCAAGGCGCCTGAAGGCAGGACAAGAAGCAATGGATGGAAACTGATCAAGGAGAGAAGCAACTTAGAACTAAGGAGAAACTTCCTGACAGTTAGAACAATTAACCAATGGAACAACCTGCCTCCAGAAGCAGTGAATGCTCCAATATTGGAAGTTTTTAAGAAGAGACTGGACAGCTATTTGTCTGAAACAGCTATTTCCTGCCTGAGCAGGGGGTTGGACTCGATGACCTCCAAGGTCCCTTCCAACTTTTTTATTATTATTATTATTATTATTATTATTATTATTATTATTATTATTATTATTATTATTATTATTATTATTATTATTATTATTATTATTAAAATTTCCAAAGTAGGTTGGGTTATGATATGAAATGTGCAAATCATGGGGAAAAATTAAAAATATTCCACTGGGAATATCCAAGGATTTTGATATATTTAGCAGTTGTTTGCATCATGGCTGATATCAACTATTAATGTCATTGAACAGGACACGTCTGTGGTGCTTTGCCTGCTACACTCTTCATCAGTACAAAGTTATCTTCTTAAGAACTTTTCTAGCACACAAAGACAAAAGTCCTTTTTATAGTAAAATTGCTTCAGCTATTATGTCATTTATAATTTCCCTACTGGAAAGCATATTTGGATTTATGATACTAATTAATGTTGTTTCATTTGTATTCAAGGTACTTTCAGGTTCAGAATGGGGTAATTTGCTTCTTTGGGAAGGGGGACTCATAAAAGTGGAACTCTGTCGACCTGGCCGTAAAAATTGTCATAATGGTCCTATTAATCAGTTAATTCTGGATGAAGGAGAAGTGATCACTGTTGGATCAGATGGATACATCAGGGTAAGGGTTCCCCCCCCCCAAAAAAAGTATACTAAATGTGCAAAAATATATTGTACTCAAACTGATTTATAATTTAAAAGCAGGAATCATCGGGTAGTTATATAAATTTAATTTACTATTCTACATTTATATTCTATAAATATTTTGTTCAGAAGCAGCTATAGTGAGTGCTCCTTGTTAATAAATTCTATGCAAATATTGTTCATTAATTTCATATCTAGGAATAAATAACTTTAATTCCAAGTATTTCTCGGAGAAGTATTTTATAGGGTAGATGCCACCACAGAAAAGATTCTTGTTCCAATTGCAGTAAGGATTAGGGTGAGGGGTGAAGAAACATATCTCAATTCTTTTGCCAGTATTCTGACAAAATGTGATATCTCAAAAGTTGTTATTAGCATATTAAGGCTAAACATATTGTTACTGCCCTAATTGTATCTCTTGAAATACAAATAGCTGTAGAGAGATTTATTTGTCAGACAGTACCATGAGAAAAGCTGAGTTTCAAGACTGCTCAGATTTTCTAAGGTGCTATTTATATCTGAAGGCAAATAATATTACCTCTTCCTCCTCCTCCTCCTCCTCCTCCTCCTCCTCCTCCTCTTCCTCTTCCTCTTCCTCTTTTACTGCTTCGGGGGTTGAGGTAGATACAAAATTCTGGCTCTTGCTCTTCTGACAGCCTCAGTCACTGTTAATTGGGACATATGAATAACATCTATTTATTTGTCTGATTGCTTGCTTATTTTATTTCTGCACAGCTTTTCGTATCAGAAAAAGTCCTTTTGAATTCTCTTTTCTGAGATTGCTCTCTCATGATGCTTTAGCATTTTAAAACAATAACAACCTCCTTTTTCCCCAAAAACTTTTGTGAAGGTTTGGGATTTTGAAACAATAGACACAGCTGATGTTGTGGATGATACTGGACTTGTAGAGATGGAACATATAAACGAACTTTTAGTTGGTAAAAATGTCAGTCTGAATTTTATGATGAAAATTCATGAACGGGGAGAACCATATTGGTATGCTCAGGTGAGACGTTTTCTAATAATTAGTGAATAGACAATTCAGTACTGATGAGGTCAAGAATACCAAAGGAAAGGATATTTGTTTTAGTATCAGTTGAAATATCACTAGGTTTTTATTCCCATTGGCTTTGTTCACATAACCATAAATCAGGTTCTACAAACTCCACTGACTTCCACTGTCGGACCAATGCACATTAAAACCAATAATTCATTTGGTATTAAAATCTACAGTCCTAACATAGCATAACTATGAGAAATGTTAGATGGTTCTATATTCTGTATCTGGATATTCCTTTTAGAAAGGAAGTACTAAATTGGAAAGAAAAAGTGAAATTGTATAAGACAAGATCTTTTACCCTCACTTTTATAACTTTAATAAAACTTTTAAATCATGGGTGTCCAACCTTTTGGCTTACCTAGGCCTCATTGAGTGAAGAGGAATTGCCTTGGATAACATTTAACATGTATAATATAGTTAATGTATACAAATGATAAATGTCCTTTATTTTTATTATAATATTAAAACAAAATAGGGCAATATAAACATACAACTAATGGGATATTTGAGCTTATTTTTGTGTAACCAGTGCATCAATGTCTCATTTGATGGAAGTGGTTGAAATTCTTAGTGAGTTCTCAAGGTGCTCGTTAGAAAATTTTGATCTAATTTTACTCTTTGTGTGCTTCATCCTTGAAAAAAGTTGTTTACAAATGTCAAAGGATGATGACATGAATATAGCTTGATTGTGAAGTGAGGGACATTTTTCTCTGGGAAGATAGGACTTATAAAAGTCTAGTAAAGAGACAGGATCAAATTTTTCTGAATGTCTGAATGTTTAATTTAACTCTACACATTCCATTTGAAAATTTGTAGGTAATGTATTTATATCCACTGAAAATGGAGTTGTAAATATACCCAAAATTTAATTTAATTTTAATTTATTAAATTATTTTGCAAAGCAATACAACAAACCCCATACAATAATTAAATAAGAAAATCTATATCTCTGCTTCCTTGCAAAAAAATATATCATTTTTTTGCTGGGTTAATTAACAATAAACACTTGTTTCCATAGGCACACACATATATTATCACACACTTATTATCGGTAATAGTTGTATTTTACTTGCCAAGTCACCCAAGTGCATATAACATCTGATAGGGGTTTCAGTTTGACTGACTGTGTGATGGATATGGGAGGTGAAGTTAGCACTGTGCTGTCCCCTAAAGATTATTCCATTGTCATCTGAGCAGTCCATGCTTGAATATCATGTAATCAAGTCATGAAAAACTTTTGCAAAAATCACATAAGAATGCTAACAGTTTACAATCTTGTGGGGCTGGATTACCAGCTGTCCAGGGCATTATGTGACCCATGTGTTTAAGTGGTTTTAATGGTTCTCCAGTGTTTGTGAGATGATACTTCTATATTTTTCTATGGCTTTAATTGCTAATAATAATTGTATGGTAAAATTCTTGAATCTTTATATGCTTCTAAAGATTCAAATACAGCCTACTCAACTGAGGGTTGCAGGAGATGACAGTTGTGTCAGTGTTCAGTTTACAATATAGTTTATATTTGTTTTCCTCCTGTGAATTCAATGTAAGTTTTTATTCACCCATGGTTGAGAGATGGCTTTTTATATTGTAGATTCATTGTAAGCTAGGAAAATTTGATTTCCAGATCAAAAGCCCTCATACTTCCAAATTCTTTATGCCATCTATTGCTTAGAGTAATTATATTAACTAAATGCAAATAGAGCAATACTATTTTTATATGCCTTATTTGCAATAGTGTTATAATGGAAAAAATCCTTTTATAATCATGCAACACATTTATCACAATTACTACGTAAAATGATCATTATTAGGATTCAGAATTGAGTCAGATTGTGATGTGGTTTATTCATTCAGATTGAGTTACAACCTTGGATAATCCTGAAATACTGCTGTTATATTCAAGAGGAAAGCTCTTATTGGTGCTTAAGGGAATTTCCCCTTTTGGGCCAAGGGCAATGCTTTTTTGGTGAAAGAGGAATTTACTAAGTATTGTATGTAATATGATTCCGATCCCTGTCCTTTCTGTTTAACCTAAAAAGATTTAAAGTCATGCAACACTTCTAATGTCTTTACTATTATACGCACCAAGGTGCATTAGTCCAAATGTAATTGGACAAATGGCTGATTTTGGTGGAAAACTTGCAGTTATTTTTTTTCAAAATCAGATATATGGCTTTAAGACAGGAAAAATGGAATAATAACCAAGTATTATTATAATTATGCTTCTTTAGGATTTCAATGGAGCCATATGGAAGCTTGATTTAAGTTTCTCGAATGTTGTAAGTTTTACTTCATATTCCCTTTCTGTGCTGTATCCTTCCATTATATGATATATAAATAAAATTACTTTTACAGTATCATTAGTAACCAGAGTTATTTTAAAGCATTTTAAAACCACTAGTAATTTTAAGCGACATGATTAATATTTTATATTTATAGTACACAAATGGAAAAAAGTAAAAGAAGTTAGAAGTACCAAATTTAAAGCTATGCCCTATCAAGCCATTACATTACAACATGTAACAGAAAGGACAAAAATAAAAGAAAATTAGGATTCTTTGTGAAGTAACTTTAATATAACATGAATATAAATTTTTAGGGTCCTGTCGGTAAAAAAGTAAGATGTAAAGAAGAACAGATGAGATATTTTACAATTGATGGATATTTTTTCTTTAAATGTTTAGAAGAAATATCACTCTCCAGTGGCAATAATTATATGCAATGTGGAATTTAATAACAATAATAATTTATGAAACATTAAATGACAGAAAGACATGTTTAAGTATCTAAAACTATTTAATAGAACATGTTTCTGGGTATATGAAGAAATTAATCAAGCCTACAGTTTGAGTTAAGGTAAAATGAGTAATGTATTTATTTTTAGTTATTTGTTTGTTTTATTTATATCCTTTATTATTTTTATAAATAACTGTAGGCAGTGGACATATCTAATACTCCTTCCTCCTACTGTTTTCCCCAAAACAACAACCCTGTGAGGTGGGTTGGGCTGAGAAAGAGTGACTGGCCCAAGATAAATAGTATAAGTTTTAAAAGACTGTATAACTTCAAATACATGCATATCCACATGTGTACAAGACATGCGGTATCCTACTTCCTATTTTCTATACAACAGCCCTAATAGGTGAGTTGGGCTGAGAAAAATGACTCACCCTGAGTCACCCAACTGGCTTCCATGTTTGAGGGAGGACTAAAAATTAGGGTTTTCTGGTTTCTGGCTCAGCATTTTATCCACTAGGATGAGAACAAGTTAAGATTCTACATTACAATAGATTCGGAATATGGGAAATATAATAATTCTTGAGAAAATCTCATCCTAATCAGTGCAGTGTCTGTATGTAATGAAAATTTGAGGGGAATTACATCCAGACAGTAAACAAATAGAAAATTTTATACTAATTACTAAAAATAAGAATTAAGTTTAGAATCTGACAGATGTGTCATGAGACCAAAACAATTGAAAGAGAATACATGTACATTGTTAAATTGTTTTTATCAATAGCCCTTTAAAGGCCTTTTTAATTATTTCCATTATAGACACGTGATCCAGAATGTCTGTTTACTTTTCATTCTGGAAAGATAGAAGCCATAAGTGTATCTCCAGTTACATATATCATCGCAACTACTGCTCTTGACCGTAAGTATACCTTCCTCCTTCTAATTTTGCTTTTAGAACATAGAATAATAAGGTTGGAAGGTACCTTGGGGGTCTTCTAGTACAACCCCCCTGCCCAAGCAGGAGACCCTATACTATTTTGGACAAATAGTTGTGGAGTCTCTTCTTGAAAACCTCCAGTGTTGAAGCACCCACAACTTCTGGAGGCAAGTCATTGCACTGATTAATTGTTCCCACTGTCAGGAAATTACTCCTTAATTCTAGGTTGGATCTCTCTTTAACAATCTTCCACCTGTTACTCATTGTCCTGCCCTGAGGTGCCTTGAAGAATAGGTTGATCCCCTCTTTTCTGTGACAGCCTCTCAAATATAGGAAGACTGCTATCATATCACCATAGTCCTTCTCTTCATTAGACTAGACATACCTAGTTCCTTTAACCATTCCTTGTACAGTTTAGCCTCCAGTTCCTTTGTCATCTTTGATGCTCTTTTGTGCACTCTTTCTAGAATCAACATCTTTTTTATATTGTGATCAGAACTGGACACAGTATTCCAATTCTGGTCTTACCAAGGCTGTATACACTGTATAGGCTTCATATGATCTTGATACTATCCCTGTTAATGCAGCCTAGGACTGCATAGTCTTTTTTGGCAGCTGCAGCACATTGCTGGCTCATACTTCAGTGGTTGTCCACTAGGATACCTAGATCCCTCTCACAGTCATTACTATTCTATACCTGTGCATTTGTTTTTTTCTTGCGTCAGTGTAAGATCTTACTTTTCTCACCACCAAATTGCATTTTGTTGAATAAGGCCCAGTGTTCAAGACTGTCAAGATCCTTCTGTATCTTGAGTCTTATCTTCTAAAGTGTTGGCTATTCTCCCCAGTCTAATGTTGTCTGCAAATTTGATGAGTTCTCCTTCTGTCCCCAAATCCAAATCATTTACGAAGATGTTGAAGAGTATTAGGCCTAAGACAGAACTTTGAGGTACCCCACTGGATGCTTCCCTCCAATTAGATGTAGTCCCATAGAGGGCTATACAATGAGTGCCTTTGGTCAGCAGTTTTCGAATCCGCCTGGTGGGTATGCTGTCTATCCCACATTGTTCTATGTTAGCAAAAAGTAGGCTGTGGTCTACTTTGTCAAATGCCTTACTGAAGTCTAATTAAACTATGTCCACAGTGTTTACTTGATAAAACCAATTTAATCACTTGTCAATTTAGTCTTTTTTAGTTCATTTTCTTATGAATTTAAAAGTAAATATTAATTACATTAATTAGTTGTGTTGGAGATGGTATAGATTCCACCTATTCCAATTTTTCATCTCCTGAATATATAGGATTACCATTTTCAGTATCTCAAAGGCAACAAGTTGAACAGTCCTTGAATTTTTCAATTCCTATGACACAGATTTTTGTAGCTTTCTTTTTGTTCAGGAGAAAATTCTCTGAGTGGATTTGAACCAAAGATTCCTTTCTGTGAATGGCAAGAATCTTTCTGTAGTAGAAAGATCCCCACCCACCTATCCCCCACCACCCATAGAAGCAAGAAGATAGCAATTGTATCTTCCAGAAGGAAACGGAAAAATTTAAATTTACTCTTTGAGTAAGCTGTCTTGACTTTTTAAGTCAAGCTATCTCTTGAAATTATTCTGAACAGTTTTAAAAGTATGAAATTAGGGTATTATGTGAATGTTGATGGGAAAAAAACGGGAAAGGAAGTTAATGTGTGACTATGTGTCACTGTTTTTTTCCCCATTCAATCATGTCTAATTGTTGGTTACTGCCTGGACAAGTCCCTACAGATTTGTTAGTAAGATAGTTCTGCCATTGCCTTCTTTCTAGGTCCAAAGATAGACACTGACCCAAGGTTACCCAGCTAGCTTTGTCCCTAAGGTGGGATTGGAAATCCACACCCCCCCAATTTCTAGCCTGATGTCTTAATTTCTACATCAAACTGGTTCATATTACTAATTGTGTATAAGTAGTGCACTTAGTATTACTATGTCTTACTGTTGTATTTTACTATTCTATGATTGTTTTACTCCTAATATGTAAACCAGCTAGAATTATTTTGTAACTAAGAACAGCATATACATTTATATGGAGATAATAAGTAATTCGAGTTTCATTGGGATCTTTCTCTTTACTTGATCTTTCTCTTTACTTGATCTTGATAGGTTCAGTGCGTATTTATGATTACATTGGCAAGATGCAATTAGCTGATATGAAATTTAAACAGGGAGGAACAGCACTTACCTGGGCTCCAACATTGGTAAGTACACACAGGAAAAAAAAGAGTACATGGATTAAATCTGGTTGGTGTAAACTGTTAAAAATCAATTGTTTATGATGGGGCTCAATAAAACTGAGGAAACATCTGCTTGTTTTTTCTCCAAATCATGTTCTCATTATCTGGATCTAGGAACTATTGGTACCTTGATTTTGGAGAAATGTATAAACTTTCAGAAGATGTGAGAGTGAGTACATTTGTTAGGAAACACTTCATGGAGTTTTTCCTGAAAATAGAAAAAAAGAATTAATAATTTATGGATTTCATTATTAAAAAAGGGAAATATAAGAAAAAGGGAAATGATACAATCTTAAAGAGAAAGGAATGGACCTCAAATCTGACAAAAATGGTAAATGCCATTCTTGTGTGCCTTTCAGAATGCTGGTATTTGTTAGCCTTTGTTAGCCATGTATCCACCCCTCTGAAGGGGAAAATGCTAGTAAATCCCAGCATCTGAGCCTTCCAGAAGACTGGCTTTTGTTAGTATTATGAGTCTTTCAGAATGCTAGCATTCTCTAGTGTTTAGTGTTTCACCCTCCAGAAGGGGAAAGGCTGGTGAATCCCAGCATTTTGAGTATTTCCAAATACTAGTGTTTCCTAGTATTTTGGCAAACACCATCATTTCCATCCCTCCATAGGGGAAAATACTAGCGAACGCCAGCATTCTGAGTCTTCTAGAACAATGTTGTTTGCTAGTGTTTTTGCCACAATTGAAATCTGTTCCTCCAGCATGCCGAGGGAGTTCTTAAAATTGTTCTCTTTGATGCTAGGTGAAGAGGGCCTCAGTATGGTTGGAGACCCAAGCTCTTTCTTCACCCACCATGCCCAGAGGCCTGGGTCCTCTCTCTGCCACTCTGCTATCTGCACAATTGCTTGACAAGCATAACTGGGAGAGATGGGAATGCAGTCATTGAGCAAAGTGGCCACATGGTCGGTTGCTGAATGAATACTTCATTCAACAACCAAAATTCCAGACCCAATTATAATCAGTGCAGGGCTACCTGTGCAGGGCTACCTGTATAGGAAGACTTGAAAGAGAATATATGTTTGAAAAAGCAAAAATGAAGACCAACATAGAAGCATCACAGCTGTGACAGGCAGTGCTGTTGTATGATTGTATTACAACCTGAGTAGAACCTTCATATCTTTGCAATAAATAGTACTCATAGCAGTTCTTAAAGGAAAATATTGAAGGAAAACAGAGAAACAGGAAAACGTTTAAACAAACTTAAATAGTTGAAATGAGAGTATGAAGGAGGAAAGGGGGGGGGAAGACATTAAGAGCAATTTGATAACAGAACCAATTATCCAGAGAAGTGGATCTCCGCTCAATGCATTTCAAACAGAGATTAGACAGCCATTTGAGTGGTTTGATTTGTATTTCTGCAGAGTACAGCTTTTATTCCACATTATATCTCAATATAATACCGCCTTTTGGAAATAAAATGTCAATCACAATTATGCAAAATTGTTCTTTATTCATATCATACATATCATATCATGATACAAACTTTATATATCATAAAGTGTCACAGATTTAGGAGATATTTTCTGTAGGTACCTTATATTAATGCAAACATTTTTTTTGTCTAAGGTAAATCCCAAAGGAGGTATTATTGCTGTAGGTTTTCAGGATGGCGTTGTTCGCATAATTGAACTTTATAATCCCAAAGGACTGCCTGTCATTGCTGGACGGGAAAATGTAGGAGATGCAGCCTTGCGTCTGAAACAGGCTTTTAAACCTCATGTGTCTGTAGTTACAGCTTTGGCCTATGAACGTAACGGGGAAGTGCTAGCCACAGGGGTATGTATTGACTTTTCTGTGAATACTTGTTAATAGGCCACATGAGAAAACATGCATGGAAAAGTAGGACTTGGAATTTTTGCTCTATGATCAAGTCTAAAGTAGGATCTATACCCTTAGACCTAATCTATGATTTGGGGGTGATTTCAGGTGATTAAAAAGTTTGGCCTAGAATGAATTTGAGGGAAGCAATGAGTTCAAATGTATTACTCTGTGGTTTGCTAAGATAATGGAGGCACATTTCTGATGACCTTCTGTTGCAAAGAAAATTGACTAATGATTGGTCCTGGACATATGTAGCTCCAGCTGCAATGCATGATTTTACTAACAATCAAGTTTTTCTATTTCAGAGCAAAGATAAAACTGTTTTCTTCTTTACTGTTGACGATAAATATGAACCTATTGGATTCATTAGTGTTCCAGGACCAGTACAGGCATTACAATGGTCACCCCATTCTCATGTGAGTAGCTAATTTGCTTCTATTGTACATATGAACCTCATGTTTGTTAATTTTGCTAACTACAATGATCTAGTGTTGTAAGATTCAAGTTATATTATTTAAATAAATATATATTTAAATATTGATCTAGATATATTCTAAGTGATTTGATGAACATTTTAATGATAGCGAAGACTATAATTTTTGGACCAATGTGCATTTATTTCTATGTATTTATATATTTCATCTGCCTTTTTTCCCATTTACTTAACTGGGAGAGATTTGTTTTGTTTTTAGTTTCACTATCATAGTAATACTAAAAAAAAAGACTATACCTGAAAACTGCATCTCTGAAGATACAGAAACAGACATAATTAAACATTGTTATTTCAGATCCAAGAAATAGGAAAAATCTAACATCTGACATGTCATCTTATTGCAAAACCATGCACCCAGACGGTGCAGTGGTTACAATGCACTATTACACCATTGCAGACAAAGTCTGACATTGTAAACTGCCTAGAGAGTGCTGTGAAGCACTATATGGGGCTGTATTTAAGTCTAAGTACTATTGCTATTACTAAAACAGTATATTGATGGACAGAACAAAGATGGAAAGTAAGACTGGAAGTGATGATGTGGAAGTTTGTGTTTGTGTAAGTTGTGTAAGTTAATCATAGTGCTTTGAGAAAAAGACTATTTAAAATTTGAAAATTCTATAAAATATTTATTCCCACAGTAGTTTGCTAAATAAATTACATTTATATGATTCATTTTTAACCATTCTGAAAGACTGTACTATATTGCCAGTACTTTTATCGAGTCTATATTTGAAATATATATTCTATTTTCTCCAGCAAACAAAAACAAATCTTATTATTAAGACTTCAAGCAATCTGACCCTGGACATTCTTATATATCATTCTTATATATCCATCTATTAACATTGACATTTGTTGTTGGGAAGCTGCCAGCCAGGCTGGAAGGAGGAGTCAAGCAAGGAATAAGCCTTGAGTCATTGCACAATCACAGGAAGCATAAGCCTAAACTCCCTTCCCCCCTAATATTTATGAAACCATGAAATTTGAATTGAAGAGAAAAACAATAGAAAAAAGTAATGAGAAAGTGAAAAAGAACTAAAGAAAAAAAATAGAAACAAAAAAGGAAGACAAAATAAAAAGCAATAAAGAAGTGGCTTCCAATCTTTTTAACAGCTGTTACATTTATATTTTACCCTCCCTGTCTTAGGTTACACCATAATTTCCTTCTTTCCATTTTCCACCCATTCTTAACATCAAATCCATAACTCATGTGTTAATTTTTTCTTTTTTCAGCAAAAGTTCCACAAGGGGTTTCCAGTCACTAATAAATATAATCATTGATTTTTCTCTAAATAAACAAGTTAATTTTGCCGTCTCTTCTAGTTCTGTCATCTTTCCTAACCATTTCTCTGTTGTGGGTGTTGTGCATATAGCAGTCTTGCCACAGTGAACATATATAGGAACAATATTCCATGGCTCTTTTGTAATTGTCTGTTCATTAGTCCCAGCCAAAAATAGTTCTGGTTTCAGTTGAACATTAGTCTTTAAAATATTTTGTATTGTTGTATGCATTTAAACCCATTTTCTGGCTTTTTTTTTTTTTACAAGTCCACCAAGCATGATAAAATGACCCTTCATTTTGTCCACATTGCCAACATAAATTAAATATCTTTATATGTTCTAACAATTTTTCTGGAGTAACATACCAAAGGTACATCAGTGAATAAAAATTCTCCACAATTAGGAGTTGGGTAATCTGGGTTCTAATTCTTTCTTAGGCACAGCTGGATGACCTTAGGGCTGTCACTCTTTTCAGCCAAAACCAGCATCAGGTTTTACAGCAAGCCTACTAAAAAGCAAACTATTGTTGCACTGTGCATTTGTGGCTTTGCTGCAAGAACTAGGTAAACATAGTACAAAAACAAGTGGAACCTGCAGTTATGCAGGACAAAAGCAACAACATAATGGTATGTTTTCTTTGTTATAATAAAGCCTATTTTTGTCCTATTTTTCAAAATCAAGTATTATATATACATGCCTGCTAGTTTTGTTTCATGTTCTTATCTACAGCCAGAGAGCAAGCTCCTTATCCTTTGTCAGAATGGCATCGTTGTTCAGGTTCCTGCTCCAGACCCTATGGCCTACGATGCAGTAACTACCTATAGGATCAAAGATCTACCTGCAGAATATTTTCGTTTCTGGAGCATCAAATCTCGGATATTGGTAAAATATTGTACTAATACTGTAGAAAATCTTCCATGATAGAGTAATCTCCTTGGGAAACATTCTGTTTGCCTTCCCAACTGTAGCAGCTCAGGGATATATGGGGCCCCATGTTGTAGGGATACGTTATATATCTCACCAATGTGAAGATTTGCATTTTAGAATGATTCAGAGTGAGGGACAGCATTGGAACCCTGGGGCAGTGTCTCCTTAGCCTAAAGCCTAAAGCCAGTCTTGCTTCCAGAACATCCCGTCCTGTCCCATACATATATCAAAACAGGTTGATTAAACATTTGGAGGTAAAAACATATGCAGTAAAAATGTAGTGTCACTACATAACATTTTCATTTTGTCTAATAAATCGTGAACTTATTTTTAGAAATTTTAACAGATTAACTATAGGACTCAGAGTTAATCATTCTAAATACTTGTTTTCTGCCATACATGTAATTTAAGATCCAAATATTGTATTTGACATGAAAATAGGATTGCTCAGAGGAGAAATATTTTATAATTTTTAATGAACTAAAGATGCTTGAGCAGCATCTTCTGTTAGTGAAGTTCACTGTTATGTCCTGTTTAGGTATATGTGGAACCATATTAAGTATTATGCTTTCCATTCTTTCAAGAGCCTAATCTTACACTGAATTTCATTGCTTCTATAAAGAGAGAAGAGGAAATTAAACACAGAGAAAAAATTAAACAACAGAAGGCGAAAGAAAAGGAGCAATGGATCAAAAAACAGCTGGATCAGGGGAAAACGCTAGAAGAAATAGAACTGCCCGAAGAAGCACCTGTTGAAGAGGAACCACTTCCAGAAATCTACATCCCAGAAACTCCAAGTCCCATCCTTTGTGGATTTTACTCTGATCCCGGGAGATTTTGGTTATCGTTGGTAAATTTTATTTATTTAAATTATTAAATTTAAATTATAGTTATTAAATGTATTCTTATTTCTCATTTTGTGGAAGGGCATACATTATAAATTAAATAATATCAAATCTATATTTGGTACTCAAGTATTTTTCTTAAGTAAACCTAAATGTCCCAAAATAGCATATAAGGTTATAAGTTCTTCAGACCTCTTCAAGAGGCTTAGATGTAAATTGGAAAAGAGTGAAAGTCTGGGTGAAAAGGTGACTTGATGCCAAAATCAGCAACTTTATCTAGGTATTAATTATGTGAGATGAGATATTTACATTAGTCTCGATTAAGTGCTGTGATCTGGTGCGGAGCTAGTTCACTCCCTGTGGTGTACCTTGGAAAGTGCACAAGCATGAACCAAACAGGCAAGCAGTCTTAGGCACTCAAACTACTACTCTGTCTTAATACAGGTAATCCCTGAGTTATGACAGTTCACTTAGCACCCGATCGAAGTTAAGCGATAAGTGCTCCCTAGTGTTTACTACCAAGTCCCAAAATTATGACTGTTGCAGCACCGCGGCAGTTGTTCGCTCCCTACAACTGCTTTCCCCTCCAATCCTGCCGCCCCCAGGCTCATTTGCCTTGCAAAGATCTCTCTTCTCTCTGCCGTAGTTTCTTTGCCTTAGAGGGAGAGGAGAGTCGGCTTGGAAAAGTTCTAGGGGCTGTGATCTCACGTGACTTCAGGCACACACATCAGAATGGGTGCCTGAAGTCGCAACCATCTCAGTGCAAAAATCATTTCCAAGCCGACTCTCCTTTCCCTCAAAGGCAAAGAAACCGCAGCAGAGAAGAGACAGATCTTTGCAAGCTAAGTGCTTCAGGCACGGCAGGATGGGAGGGGGAAGCATGAGGTATCTCAGTGGATCGGGGAGGCCTTGGGGGCCTGTTCCATCACTAGGCCCCCATGGCCTTCCCCACCCTGAGATACCTCATGCGCACTTAACAACCCGCTCATTCAGTTAGCGAATGCATGGGCAAAAGCAGGGAGTAATCGCGTTCAAGGTACGCGATTCACTCCTACAAATCCTCCAGTTACGAATGGAATGGGCAGGCTCCATTACATTCGTAACTCGAGAACTACCTGTAATGTAGTCTCTTGGCTAATGTTACATCGCTATATGCTAAATAAATAAATAAGGTGTTGTGATTGCTTCAGGCTGCACTCAGTACTATTCTTAGGAGTGCAGGGATGAAGAAACAATGTTTTGAGATAGATGCCATGCTGTGCAATTATCAAAATATAAAAAGCAACTGTAGCTTAAATCTGTTTCTATCCTTAAAGAAAATACAAATTCCTAGGTGGAGAAAAAAAAGGAGTTTTTCTCTCTGCTTTATAGAACTTATAAAGTAGTTTTGGAAAACTCACTTAACTCCATTGCCTTCCAGATTTATTGGCAGTTTTTAATATAAGGAAAGGATTATATCATCTTGAGTTTTCTTAGCAACACCATTCCCATTGCTGATTTGACACTGCACTGTTCTACACAACCCCCAATACAAGATTAATATTTAAATGAAAAATGCAAAAGGAAAAACCATTATGTGCGAATATATGCTTCTTATATATAAGAGTTGCCCTTATCTTTCCATGCTACTGAACCAGTTTCCTTTTGATTTTAACAGAGCTGAAAGGTTCCTTTACAAAACAACAAAAAAATAAAAATAAAAACAGGGTGTGTATTAGATGATTTGAAATATTGCCTTCAATGGAGCCCTTTTGTGAAAAGCAGAGAACTGGACTTAACTGTAGTAGGTTTATTCACAACTGGGTATAGAATGAGTGCATAAATATGAAACAATTATAATATTTTCACAAAACTCTTCCAATAACTTCTTACAACATTGTCTTTTTTCCCCAGGGAGAATACGACACAGGATTTTTGTATCATTGTGCATTTTCCTCTGAGCAGCAGCAAAAAGATCCCGAGACTCGGCAGGATGAACCCTTTGATGTTATCCCTATTGAAGATGCAGATGAAACTCCCATTCATCGCATCACATTTTGGTAACAAGGCTTTTTCGACCTGTAAAATGAGAAAGAATTTTACAGCTAATGTTTTTTTTAAAAAAATGTTTATTTTATGCATGTATATATTTGTTAAAATGTACTGCTAAATAATGTAAAAATACACTAAAGTACAATGGAAGATACATTATGATAAAAAACAAAACCATTTGATTTTGGTGTGGATATTATGGATGTTTTTGATTCTGTGTTTGATTGGGCAGTATTCTTTTTCCTTGCTCTCAAGTTTATTTAACCTGAGCAAAATATAGTTATTTTGAAATAACGAAGTATTTTATCGGTTCTCATTCTTTGATCAAGCATATAGAAGGGCAAAATATACTTTTCCCCTTTTCATACTGTATCCAGATCCAAGCCTCTTGGTCATATATTACTCAAATTCATTTTATGTGTTAAAACCAGATATGAAAAAATATGAAAACTGGCTTCTAGTTTTTGAAAGCCAAGGCAAGTGAATCTCTCCTCTTACTCTCATGATGTTGTACTAACATGGAGGTGGTCTCATATCTCATTCCCCTCCTGCCCGAGATATAGTCTTTCTGCATGTATAGGTCTGATTGTGGAACACAAAGAACAAGCAGTGAAATTCAGAATAGTCCTCGAATTCATGAAAGGGCATGAGGCGATGGTGTCTTTTTGTATGCACATAGATTAAAGGCCTGGATATTAAAACGTATGAAGAACGATTGCAGGATTTGAGTTTGGCTAGTCTAGAGGAAAAAAAGAACTAGGGAGACATGATAGCAGTATACCAGTATTTGAGAGGTTGCCACAAAGAGGAGAGGGTCAAATTATTTTCCAAAGTACCAGAGGTCAGGACAAGAAACAATGACTGGAAACTAATCAAGGAGAGCAGCAACCTGGAATTAAGGAGAAACTTCCTAACAATGAAGACAATTAACCAATGGAACAGCTTGCCTTCCGATGTTGTGGGTGCTTCATCACTGGAGGTTTTTAAGAAGAGACTGGACAGTCACTTGTCTGAAATGATACAGGGTCTCCTGTTTAAGCAAGGGGTTGGACTAGAAGACCCCCGAAGTCCCTTCCAGCTCTATTCTGATTGATTGGAAAATATAAGAGAGGCAAAGCGAATGAGTCCTCAAAGGAAAGCAGTAATGAGACAGTGGAAACCGTATTGTTTTTTGTCAGCAGTCAGCTCCTTCCAAGGTCACAGATTTTAAGTCTCTTTTCGGCCCACTATTGGTACCAGGAGAGACAAAAAGTAGTGAATATAATAGCAAACTTTGTATACTTGATATCAAATTGTATATGGAATTTAAGAGTTTTGAAGAGGCAGAAACTTCCTGTCTGCTCATAAATTATTCAAGTGACATCCCCAAATGTGCATGGGCTCCAATATGGCAACCTGCTGCTTGGTAGAGAAATAATATTGTTATTGTTTCTGTCACTTATTAAGCCTGCAATGAAGTTCTCTGACAGTTTTATCATCGTAGGATATTTCGGTGTCTTATCTGATGTGGCCAATAAGGAAGATTGTCTTGATGGAAATGTGCAAGAATTGTTACCTAGGCAAAAGGAGGGTTAAATATTTTTTTTAAGCCCTGAGAAACAACATGTATATGGAAGTAGCTTAGCTGGACACCTTCCTGATTCATTAAGTATAACAAGGTTGCATGGGCCCTAGGAAGTACAGCTCAGTTAGACATGCACAATTCTGTTATTATACCTAATGTAAATAAAGTAGTTCTAGAACTCCTGGGTTTTATCTCTTCTGGTCTCCCTACTGGGGCTGACTTATGCCTTCTGTTTTATCCCCAGCATAAACAGATTTAGTAGTATATGAAGAAAAACCATCATGTTCATGTTTTAATTATTTTTTTCAGCTCCACAGGTTTACTAATGTTTTGTGGAATGCAGAATGGAATAGTGAGGATTTATCCTCTCCATAGCAAAGAACTCTGTGTGGACAACATAGCTGGATATTGGTCCTTCAGTTTGCATGATAATGACTATGGGCAAATTCAAGGGATATACTCCAGTTTTGATGATCGATTTCTAGTAACTTGTGGAGCAGATGGCAACATCTTTGCCTATAACATTCTTTCTGCTGAGGAAGTTAAGAAAGTCCTGAAGACTAAAGTGCCTTCTCCAAGAGTAAGTAACAATCAGGAATGCATTACTCTGTACTTTCCCCCCTGTCATTGAAGTACTTGTTGATTGGGAAATACTCTCAGTTTTCTCCATAACCTATATAGATAGAGAGGGTGGGATGGAGGGAAGACAGGCAGACACACAAGTAAATATACACATAAACACAGGAAGTCCTGTGGAAAACAGCAAAACCCTCAAATTGCAGTCATATGACAATGGAACACTGCAACTGGTCACAAAGTAAGCCAATTGCCCATTTCCTGGAATGCAATCATGTGACTGCTGGGAGGGGGGTAGGCAGTTGTAACTTCAAAGATAGTTTATAACCAACTTTTTTGAAGTCCATCATAACTATGAACAATTATTAAACAACCAATTGTAGGTCAAGGACTACCTACATATATTAGCTTGCTTTGAAAGTGGGAAGAGAAGATTATTAGAAAAAAATGCTATGATTTATAAAACATTGTGAGAAGTTATCTGGAATTCCATCTGAGCTTTAGTTGAATCCATGCCACATATAGAAAGAGCATTGATTATTTAATTTTATTCTTCTGCAGAGTGGTCTTGACAAAGAGAAAGTAGCAGATGATATTGAGGATATATATGCCTACAGGTAAGGTTACTAAAAGTGAGACATTAAGCTTTATTTTTGGAAACCTAGATTTCTTTTATGCTTATTTTTATTTTTAATCAATCCCTCGAGAAACAAATACATTTCCAAATGAATCTGACTTTAATAAAGTAATTTTAGTGGCATTTACGACTCCTGCCTAGAGTTCCTACATTTTTCTGAAGCATTATACTTTCCTTTGCAATTTTCTCTGAAGATACTGTCTTGTGATCTCAGTAGCTCTATATTTATAATTTTGAACATTTGCATTTTAATATTAAAAATATGAGATTTTTTTTTTAGATTTGACCTTCTTAAAATCGTAAGTGTGGATCAAGGATGGAAGGGGAAATGCAATTTTTTTGGCCACATACCCATACACTACAGTATATGGTCAGAAAGTAACATTATAGAGCTTCTATTTTTATATTTTGACATTTAATTACCAGAAATACAGTACAGGCTATGAGAGTCCTATTTCTCTCCAATGCCAAGGTTTGTGGACGGATGCCAAGTAAGAGACTACCAAGCCTCTGGCCTAGAAGAAAGGGTCAGAGCATGAAGATTAAAAATGCTACTTGGAGACCTCTTTTCTTTCATTATTTGGGCTCAGTGGTCTTCTACAGTCATATTTAATTATGAGGATAGAGGTTCATTCTCCAAGCTTGTGGGTTGGTTTCCAAACGTTTTGTTACCAGGCTAGGTAACATCTTCAGCAGAATTTAGGGGATGTCAGTGTTCTTCTGCTTATAAGGGCTTTGTGTGGTCAGTAGGTCTTGTGATGGGGAAGTCATGTCAGGTGAGGGTCACGTCAGGTGAGGGTTTTGTGATGGGGTTTGTGATAGGTCATGTCAAGTGAGGGTCATTGGGAGGTGAAGTGCAGGTTGGGGAAAATTGCATGGATTGGTTGAGGATCAGTGCCATTGCTGGTTGACTGTGCAGTTGATTTGAATTTGAATTCTGAGGGGTTTGTGAGAGGTTGTAGATTGATGTGTCTGTTGATGGAATTGTTTGTGGAGTGCCAGGCTTTGATAAACTTGTGTGCATGGTGGGTGGTAGTGTGGCTGATGATTTTTGTATTGCTCCAATCAGGGTCAGTGTGGGTAGTGGGTAGAGGTTAGGGATCTGGATTGTAGCAATTGACTGCCAGTTGATGTTCATAGATTCTGGTTTTCACTTGACATGATGTTTGTCCCACATGGTCCCACATTGTCCCACCTTTACCATCATCCTACACCCACTATATTCCCCACTATTGCAAACATTTAATTATGTTAACTAAGTTCATGTGTTAATGCCCAGCTTAATCAATGCTACAGTATATAAAAACTTTTTTTGTGGAGACTTCCGGTGGCAGGCGATTTCGCTGGTCGCAGCTGTTTGCTGCCTCCCGCCTGTTTTGCGTAAAAGCCGGTTTGACAGCCAGCATCTGCTGTCAAACGGCTTGATACCTTTCCCCTGGGCATAAGGGGATCGGTGAGCTGCCCGGGGTAGGAGTTGAGTTCCCGAGTCGTCCTATATGGACGATGTAGGCG